TGATTTCCTCTTCACAGAATTGGTCCTCTCACCTACCTCATGTGGCTGCAAGGAATTTGGATTAGCTCCTTATAGAGCACTCCTCATATCTTTTTTGGCCATGCATTGGAACATCTCTCATTCTTGATTTTGTCATTCATGGGAAGATATCCTCAATGGCTATGATGTTGGTGTGAGACGCACTCTATGAGGAGCAAAAATAATTTTATCTACTAAGGCTTGAGGTGAGTGTGAGGACCAATTATGTGATGAGGAAATCCAGATTCTCAATCTCTAGGTTGTTGATGTAGTATGTAGGCATTACAAGGCTATAGCCCACAAAAAGACTTCAAAAGAATATTTCATAGAGTAATAGTTATTACCATAATATGAGATTGGTCCTCAATGCAATGGTCAGGTTGTTCTATTAATACCTGATGTTTTAGGGTTCAAATCTTGGAAGTAGCCTTTTTTGTGTGTATACCAAAGTAAATAAGACTCGGTACATATGTTTCTCTTCAGGCCTTGCTTTGGGTCATGGGCTGCCCTTGTTTTAGTCACTATCATAATTTACCCAAAAGTAGCCATCTCTATGAGGGCTACAAATGGATTGGATCGAATTCAATAAAGGTAAATCCAATCTCATAAGAATTTGGATTTTCACGATTATTCTTATCGAATATTTGAGTTATAATAGAAAAATTTGATGATATAATATACATAATCTACTGTATTATTTAAATAATATATAATATATAATATATAATATTTCATAACTAATAATGGATCAGGTTATAGCGGATCAGATCGGTATATATTTAAATTCGATTTTCGTATTTAAATCGGACCTAATCCAATTTATTCAAGGTGTATATTTTTTCATATCAATTATACTGCAAATCAATTACCAACGGGTCCTATTTGTGAATATGGAATACTAAGAAGGTGTGAATTGTTTTTCTTATTGTGAATTCGAAAAATAAATCAAAATCATCTGATTTAAAAATGATGAATTTATTTTCAAAGTAATTAAACATTGAAAACAAACAAAGTTTTAATGATTTTCAAAAATAAGAAGTGTTTCATTGAAACGAAAAAAAAAAACCTTCATATTAACATAGAATCTGGGCTATGGCCTACGTTACGTATGGATCAGTTAGTCAGGACCCGGTTGTAGATTGTTGAAAAAGGAAAAATCTATGAAATAGAGTGTGAATTTAATCGATCTCTATCAAAACCTTCATATTAAGACCACAATTTTAGAGTCTTGTGTACGTCAATCCTTAGTTCAACATTGTTGCTCTTCATTATTTTTTCTTGAAATGGTTTATACACTTCAAGATTTGCGCAAAATAACATAGAATCTGATTCATGGTGCTGAATAATGACAAACATATGATGATAACAAAAGATAAAAATATTCAAACACATGGTGGCCACAGACGTGCCTATACCACTATGGGAGTATAAATCAATGTTTTAGAAACCAATTCAGAACTGGAATCATTTTGGCCATCGATTTCTGGATCAGTGATTCAACCAAATGAATGGTCTATTCTAATTTAAAAATTAAACAAATATTTAAGATAAAAAACAGTCAAAACTGTTATTCGAGTCAGATGGGTGGGCAGTTCAACTGCCTAGATCAGCGAGTTGCTGAACAAATCAACAGATTTTTTGCAAGGAATAGGTTAAGGGTGAAATAGAACTAGTTGTTTAGACAGTTTTTCGGCCAGACAATTCGACCATCTGGTCAACAATGGTTTGGAAACCGTGGTATAAATAACTAGCTGCTATTAATATATATATATATATATATATATATATATATATATATATACACACACACACGCATAATAGTAATTAAGCACATGCGTTGCATATGAAATTTTTTTCTTCATATTAATTAATTGAATTTTAGATATATAATAGATAAGATAAAAAATGAAAATTAACAAAAGTAACAATTTGATAAAAAATAAACTTAAATACTTATAGCAAATACCAATTATTATTATTATTATTATTAAATTTTGTATTCCATTTCTATCATAGATAAAAAGATCTTTTATTTTAACAATTATTTTTATTTAATATGATGAATAAATAACATTAGAAATGCTCTCAATTGTTTTCAAAAAAATTATGTACATTTTCATTTTTGGTGCTTTATCTTTTTTAAATATTTATTATTCAATTATGACATCATGGGTTTCTTTGAAAAGTTGGGTCGTTGACCCACCATTTAGATAAGAAAATAGTTTGATTTTACAAGTGGTATAAGTGTGCAAGAAAAAAAAAAATACGATTAATTTCAATTTTTATCAAATTGGTATACCAATTTGATAAAAATTCACAAGAAACTCTTTGATATAAAATTTACACCAACTTGATAGAAATTTGTAATTTGATTGTACAAGTGGTTGGTCCCTTTAGTTCTTTTATATTGTTTGATTAATATTATATAAATTTGTAAGAAAAATAAAAAGAAAAGGACGAGAGAGGGAGCGGGAGAATGACTAAGGGAGAACGATAGAGGTTGAGGGAGAAGGAGATACTGATAGAGAGAAAAAGTGAGAGAGAGAGAGAGAGAGAGAGAGAGAGAGAGAAGGGAAGAAATAAAGGTTTTGATTTGGCTACAACAAAAGTTGAGAGAGAAGGGAGGGAGATCGAGAGACAGAGAGAGTAGGAGAAAACTTGTCACATAAGCCTTTAATGACATGGTGGGGGTTTTTATAATTTGAAACATAGAGTCGGTTGTCAGAATTTTGTTGGTTTTTGGGTTATCCTACGAAAACTTGTATCTTCTGAGTCGCGAGTATCGTAACGATACGCTTTCATATCGGCCCATATCATAATGTATCGAAGCGATACGCAACGATACAATCGATACGGATTGGCGTTTTCTGCGCGCGCGTTTATTATAAAAAAGGTCCGCCTAGCATGATTCGAACACAAACCACCCAACGCCAAACCTTAAATGCACACATAAACAATTAAGCCACTTTTAATCTTGTGTAATCCAATAAAAATAAAATAACTTCTCTATATTCTAGTGTCCAAATGTAATACAAAAAAATTACATTTATGTTTAACAATTCCAGAAAAATAAAAAAATAATATTCAAAACTAATATTTTATAAACTAATAGAATAAATAATTTCTTAAATCCACATTTATATAAAAAAATTGTTTAATCTCGAGAAGTATATACAAAAAATGATATTAATAATAGAATAATTATTTTGGTACTTAACATTTATAAATTTTAACATGACATGTATCTTAAAATTTTATAAATTATTAATTAATATCTTACATTTTATAGTAACATTTTTATTGTTGACAAAGATAAAAATATTGTAAACTAAACATTTGAGAATTATTTTTTAGTTAATATTAAAAATTAAAAATTAAAAATAGTAAAATAGAAAATAATCAACATAATAATTCACATATAATAGTTGCATATGTTTTGTGCCTTGAATATATATATATTCTTGTTTGATACAATATCAATAAAATTTTTTGATTTCTATGCATCATTTCTTCACATAGACCTTTAGAATATGCATTTTCTATATATCTATACAGTAATTATGGTTATTTTTATCTTAAAAATATTGTTATTAATATGTTTATAGAATTTATATGCATTTTTTGGCGTATCCATATTTTTTCGTCCATATCCATGCGTCTCCAAAGTGTATCCATATCTGTATCTATATCTGAGTGGTCCGATACGATTCCCAATACCGATACTTTAATCCTTGATTACACTTAATTTTTGATTGTCTATGATATCATTTGACCCAAACCACTAACCACCACCTAAAAAGAAAATTAATTTGATTTCTAGGTAGACATTAAATTTTGTATTACATTTTATCATTGATAAAATTATTTCTTATGTATAATACTTATTTTTGTTCAATATAATGAATGCATAATATTAGAGATGTAACTAGCATTTTATTTTTAATAAATATATAACATTAGATATGCACTCAGATTTTTCCTTGTTTTTTTTTTGAATCTTTGCATTTTCTATTCTTAAAATTTTTATTATTTGACTATGACATTATTTCATTTCTAGGTAGATTTTAAATTTGGCATTCCATTTTCATCATTAATAAAAATACTTGTTACACGTCATACTTATTTATTATAAAATTGCTTGCCCATCACCGGAAGGGAAGAAAATATTTTTGTTTTCAAATTACTTTTCAAAATATTTTTTTATACTATTAAAATTAATATTGTGGATTTAATTACAACAATTTAATGATGAGAGAAATATATATTAAATATAGGATTTAATGAGAGAGAATAGGAAAATATTTTTATTTCTAATTGGTTTTAAATTTTACATTCCACTTCCATCATTAATAAAAACATTTCTTATTTATCATACTTGTTATTGTTTAAACATGGATTGGCCCATTTGACACAAAATGTTTAATATGTATATTAAACATTTCTAATTGGTTTTAAACATGGATTGACCCATTTGACCCAAAATGGTTTAATTTCTTATCACCACCAAAATGAAAACACTATTTTTTTTGGTAGATTTTAAAAGTATAAGCTTTTATGTTATTGGAATTATTAATTTATTAACTATGGATTTAATGAATTGAACTTAATGATGAGAAGAAACAAAAATGACTTAAATATATGATTCAATGAACATGGATGCAAGTTAATAACTTAAATGTTGAATTTAATGAGAGGGAATTGAATGCTTTAATATCTTAAAATTACCACTTTTTAACTCATTTAATATCAATAAGTGATTACTGTTTGCCCTTATTTTCTATCAATAAATTTTAATATAGAGGGATAAATTTTGTCCTCAAAAAATTCTAAAAATATTATTGAGGCCATTCATGTTTTTTAAAATTATATATATATATTAAACACCAGTATTAATTAGAGTCTTGAACTTCACTCCATGCCGCCTGAGAGATCCATAAATTTAATAATTTATTTTGTGGAAAAATTACTCGTCTTGTGTACAGATAACATTATTTTACTACTGAGAAGACACCACTCTGCAATACATTCATCTTTGTTAAAATGTGTGAGACGGTAACATTAGTGGATGTACCTGTTGTTGCGAAATGATGCTATTCTCCAAATTTGTAAACTTGCTGGTTGAAGCTGAAGTGGTTGAACTTGTGGGCCATAAGCCCAAAGTTTCATTGATGAAGATCTCCACCTCTTGGCCATTATCGGGGACTACCGAAGGCTCATCCAACCTTCTTAATCTTTCGAGTTCTGATGCAACTTCCATCATTGTTGGCCTTTCCCTTCCACTCGTATTCAAGCATCTCATTGCAGGGTTAGCAACTGCCTGGAGCTCCTCTGTTTTACCCTCTTGCATAATTTGGGGATCAAGAATCTCAAAGAAGCGGTCTTCCCTCACTGATGAAGCAAAATATGTGACTAAATATATATCTTCTGATGATCTACTGGAAGAAATTGGTTTTTCTCCTGTAAAGAGCTCTAGAAGAACTACCCCAAAACTGAAGACATCACTCTTCTCAGTAAATTGGTGTGACTGAAAGTACTCTGGGTCAAAGTATCCAAAGGTCCCTTGTACCGATGTAGTTAAGTGAGTTTTATCATTTTCAACCAATCTTGAAATCCCAAAGTCTGAAACCTTAGCTGTATATTTTTCATCCAAGAGTATGTTTGAAGATTTTATGTCCCTTTGGAAAATTGGTATGGAGGCTGCTGAATGTAAGTAGGCAACTGCACTTGCAATTTCTGTGGCGATTTTTAAACGAATGTTCCATGAAAATAGCAAGTCTTTGTTTTTACTCATGGATCTTTTTAGCAAGGTTTCCACCAGAGGTGAACTCATAAATTAGTAGAGGAAATTCTGCATCTAAGCAACAACCAAACAGTTTAACCACATTCCTATGATTGATCTGTGAAAGTATGACAATTTCATTAATGAACTGCTTGAGCCGGTTTTCATCCACTATTTTTACCTTCTTGACGGCCACAATTCTTCCATCTGCTAACATGSCTTTGTATACTGTACCTTGGCCTCCCCTACCAAGAATTCGATCCTCATTGTAGTAGTCAGTTGCATTCTCTAGCTCCTCTGCTGTAAAAACTTTTAATTTCTCAMAACTGGTTTCATTTGACAAGATTTTCTCTTGTAATAATAAACCACCATTTCTTTTGAAGAAAATTTCTTTGCGTCTTCTCACATGCCTTTTCTTCAAAACACCATATAACCAGTAAATAGCAAGGAGCATTACTATACCCAAACCCACACCTACATAAAACATTAAAATTAAGGAGTCAAGAATTACTGAAAAATTTGCAGTGGTTAATATGACAAACTTATATCTCATGAATTTGAAAGATTTTCCATCACCAAAACATATATTTGGACAGCTTAATTTACCATATTGCCTAGAAAAGAAAGCTAAGTTACACAAGATTGTCCTCAAGGAAGCTTAATAGACCAGTCCCTAAGTTATCAACATCCTAGTTTTTTAACTGTCATTGACCTGGATGGTCGAACAACTTAAATCATTAGACCTAGAAACCATTCAGGCAACTGGTTCCATTTTACATCTGCGCCTCACAATGTCCCACAGCACATTCCGGTGATGTATAAAAAATGATGATATCATTATCGGGAGATTTTCCCAAAATATGGTGAAAATGTGCTGTGGGACGTTATAGGGCATAGATCTGAACTCTTTTGGACGTCTGATATATACCCTTAGCGTTTTGACTTTCCTGATCTGGGTCCCATCCTCCTTGGGCCATCTTTTAACTTCTCTACTCCTTCTTTTGTTTTTAATATATATTTTTTTACATATAAAACTCTAACCAAAGTCTTTCTTTCAAAAAAAAAAAAAAATCTTCCCCTCAAACACATGGCGTTCTATTCATAAAATAATGTCTAAAAGGTGGAGGGGCTTTCCACTATCAAATATACTCTCAGAAATAATGTTAACTTTAGATACATGGCCACCTATAAAAAATGTATCCAGTTCAAAGGATTTAGGGTCCATATTAATGTGTGTAATTCAACTTCTTAAATCAAATACATGAGACACTATTAAGACTTTTAAGTTATAAATTAAACCAAGTTTAATTATTTAGAAAATAAAAAGTTCAAGTTAAATATAATTACCAAATGAGTAGTGAATCTAAAATAAAATAAAAGTATTAAACAAAGGAATTTGCAAAAAAAGAAAACAGAAAAGAAGGGAAAGAAGGAAATTGCAAAAAAAAAAGAAAAACGGAAATACAACAAAAAGGAAGAAAGGAGAAAAATAAAACAAAATACAAAAAAAAAAGAGACTCCATTCACTTTTCGATAAATTATTTACCCCGGTAAATGCATTTATCCGGGTAAGTGTTTCTGTTTAATTCCTAGGAAAGACTTACCCAGGAAAGTACATTTACCCATATTCTTTTATTTCCTATGTAAATAAAGCAATGACCATTTTACCCCTAAAAATTCATTATTAGAAAGGGCATTTTTGTTACATTTAAGTGTTGGCAACTTTCCCCCGGGTGGGAAAGTCATTTACCCACCTAGGAGAAAGGTATGTTACCTAGAAAAATAAACTTTCCCTAGTCCACACATAAATCTGAAAAATGAACATAGGTTTCTTGGTAAATTGGAACCAAAATCCCATTGGCCAACTTCTCCCCCGGCCCTTGAAATCCAAACAAAAACGCCCCCTAATTGTAGAAAATTAACAGAGAAAAAAAGAATAACAAAGATGCTAAAAAGGGAAAGTACAAAAATTAACAGGAAAATACAATTTGCAAAATATACAAAAAAAGCAACAGAAATACAAAAAAAAATGTAGAAATAAAAGGGGAGAGTACACCTAAAAAAGAATAAAGAACTTCAAATGGGCATTTTCATAATTTAATATTTACGGTCAAGCCCATTAACCGGGTAAGGGCAAAGTGATTTATCTGAAAATTGAGGGTGGGTCTTTGTTGCAGATGAGGCTAATTGTCATTACCCCTAAAATTCAGAGTGGCAGCAGTATATAATGTCTCGTCTAAGTTGATGGAATCAAGGTTGTAGTATATATTAGAGTATTAGACGCAGGGGAAGCAACATATATCCATCACTGAAGTTGAAAAAAAAAAATGCCTAGTACAGCTATATAGGTATTACTTTTACATATTTACCCCACAATTTTTAATGAAATTAAGTAAAAACTTAAAAGGGTAGAGGATCAGTTTAGTAACTTAAATATTAAAGAGTGGGTTAGTCGAGACAAGCAACATGAGCTTTTAACTGTTGAATAGCCCTCTCATATATCTTATGGATATGAATTTTTAATGTAACTTTCTTATTTTTCTCATGCAAAACACGTCATGATGTTAAAGTATAATTCTCTAACTTTCTTATTTATTACTCATAATAGCTCACTTAATAATTCTACGTGCTTTCAATATTTACCTTTTGAAATTATATTTTTATAAGTTTCTTTTGAAATGACATTTATTATTTTTTGTTGAGATAGTGAGAGTAATGTATTAAACTTTTTTCCTTCTATTTGTATTTTGAAGATTTTAAATTACTTTTGTTACTTTTAGTCAAAATATTTTTGTTACAATGTTGAATGACCCCACCAGCAAGAAAAAATTCTTGGTTACGACACTGATTAGACACCAATTATTAAGTAGATGGAGAAATATCTAAAATTTAGTTTCTTATTCTAAAATAGACAAAGCCATGTTTTCCACCCCTTTTACATGGACTAGTTTGTGAGCAATCTTGTGAGTTGAACAACGACCCCACCAAGACTCAAACCGTTCACGGCTAGGCAGGGTGATGATTCTGTAGTTAGTTAAATCTCTAAATATTAATAATACAATATTACAGTTGGAGTTAATTAATTATTACCAATGGCAACTTGCTTCACCGCGGATTGCTTTTTTGGACGGGCGGTGCAACCACTTCCACTTTTTCTTCCGTCTCCCTCCATACCAGGTGGGCAGGAGCAGGTATAACTCCCAGGCGTATTAGTGCAAACCGCTGAATGAGCGTTGCATTCATTTTTAGCTGGATCAGCGCATTCATCTACATCTGCAGAGACCAGTTAATTACATATATGATACACTCAATCGATTTAGATTATAATTAAGAAGAAGATCAGAAAGATCTAAATGTATACTTGCTTAGGATATCGATCACGATCAGAATGGATCGATGGATTCTACTACATACCTTGGCGTCCGTCATCGAGATAAGGATTGCCTTGATAACCAGGAGAACATTTACAGAGATATCCAAGACCGTTGGGGGAGTTGAAGCATTCGCTGTTATTCCGGCAAGCATAAGAGGGGTCATTTCTTGAAACATCTTCACATGTATGTTTCTCTATTGCCCAGTCAAGCACCATTGGAACCGTTTTCCCGTTTCTAATATAGAAATCCTTAAAACCTATTAAATCAGACATTGAGAAGTTGTACCACTCATAGTCAACCAGGAAAGCATAGCTGCATGGGTTGAAATCCATGACGTTGGTGTGGTTATCGGTGCTATCCATATACAGCTCAAAGCTTTTGAAACCCTTCGGGATGGAAGTCTGGCAACAGCCAATACCTGAACAAGACCCGTTGATAAAGCTTTGTTGGTCCTCGCAAACCATGGAACATCCGCTTGTAAAATTCCGGCCATTGTGGCCGGTAATATCACCGTAAGTGTCGCAACCAAGGAGTGTGAGTCTATTGCCGGTGTCCGAAAAAGTTGCAGGTATAGAATCCAGATCGAAAGTAGGGAACATATGGTCGTTACCAGAGCTATTGTAGCAATCATAGGCTATGAAGTTTAGGACGCGAAGTTGGCCTGGTAATAAAGATATCTCTAGAACTTTTGCGTCGCCGGTGAACAGTATGGGAGGGTTGAAACTTCTATTGCAGTGTAGGCCATACCCTTGTCTGAAACAGCTTGGGTTGTCGTCCAAGCCGAAGGGGTAGGGAACGGTGACATTCCCACATTTGTCTTGACAACCGGGCTTCACCATTGATGATACAGCCGTCGTCGTCGTTGGCAACCACAAAAGGAGCTGAAGCAGAAGCAGCACAACTAAAGCCATTAACTAATAGCTATTGCTGAACTCAGTTTTGTCCCCAACCATGTTCTTTTGCTTCTCCCGCTTATAGCCAGCAGACTAGAGCTAAGGCTCTAAAAGAGTCGTTCCTGACTTTTTTTTCTTGTATTTTAATTTCTTTTGGTATTTAGTGTGGATTCTTGCTGCCTGTGGCATATGATTAAAATATCTATATTTTATTATAAAGTGCGGTTGTCCGCGTCAGGTTCATCATATTAATCTTTAATCCCTTAAAATTTTGTTTTTTATAAGTTTTAAATAAAAAGTTAAGTATGGGATTATTGGTTGATAAGAGTGTTCATAAAACTAAACTATATTTTAAAATGCAACTATCCGCATCAGATTCATCAATTTTCTTTTCAATCCATTTAAAATATATATATATATATATGTCTGGGACTATTTAAAGCTTTAAACTCACCCACAACGATTCAGATAAGAAACTCAACCTAATATGAGCATCTTTTTCAACACCTGCGGTATTGTATGCAGAATTTCCAGACCTACTTCATCCACCTTGACCCGTTGTTTCCTACTGCGTGCTAGATTTCAACTTTTCATATTAGTCATCTTCATGTTGATTTCTATGCTCCCAACCACTGTCTATATATATTTGGCAACCAATTCTCTCTGCCGGCCAGCCGGGAGAGGAGAGGATCCTCTAATGGGCCAATGATATCATGCCAACTCGTCATTTAAGTTATAAGGTATATATTTATCAAAACTCAAAGAGAAATTGATTGGTCAAAGGCTTCTATTATGGTGTCTTTGAGGATTTGGATTTGGAGGGTTAACTACTCATTTCGCTTACGTTATCTGAACTGATGTATTTGTTTCGTTTACTCGTTAGTTGTTCTAAGTGCAGAAGAATTGAAGCATAAAGCTCGTACAATTAGAAAGAATTCATTTGCTTCTAATTAGACCATTCAATGCACAATTCTAATTAAACCGATGGATGTGGGTCAAGTTGTGTTAGTAAAAGCCAATCCAATGTGTATTATTGGACCATATATAAAAAGCCCACTGGTTTCAATTTTATAATTAATGAAGCTAGTGGCACCCACGAAGGTGATTTATTGTTTGGATAAATTGTACTCTTCACAAAGAAATGATTTTTAAATGGTTGAATGGGATCACATGGCGAATAGCTGGAGCTTTGGGGATCACATGGTCTCCAGCTATTGATCACCATGTCATTCAAAGGAGACTATTCAGCGTTTCCAAGTTGAGAACATTTTCCTATGAATCACAATATTTAAATAGAGAAGATGTTCTATGTTCTCAATGCACGGATAAAAGCGCTGTGAGGTTGGTGTGAACTACACTCTATGAGGAATAAATCTAAATTCACCCCACTTAAGCCCAAAAGCCACATCCAAGCCCACTCAAGTTGCACTCTTAATAATGATTCTGGGCCACAAGGTTTCATGGACATTACAAAGGAAGTTTAATTTGGAAAGTGATTTGAGAACACCCATTATTTTATGAAGAGGGCACGTTCCTAATCATTATATGCCATAAAAAGAGAATATTATCCAAGTGAACATACAATAACACGAACCTACCTATTTTATTTATTGAAAATTAATAAAAATTTTATTAAAAAAGAAAAGAAGCAAAGAGAGAAGAATAATATAAGAAACCCTACTAGCAAAAACCAGGGACCCACCTCAACAAGCCCAAGAACAAAAGAGAACACCACCTGACCTAGCCTCAAAACAAAACAACCCCAGCACTCTTGAACAACTTACCCATCTTTAAAATCAAAACCAATGTTGATTATACTTGATTTCTGCTTCGGACGTAGGCAATAAAGGTCAGACCATGATAATCTTTGTGTGCTTTTTGAGTTGTTTGGCTTGTTTTCTGTTTATATTTTTGAAGTATAAATTATACGTACAATGCTCAAATACGTATTTAACAAACACTTGAGATACCCTATTTTGGCTAGGATGCTGCAAAAAGCATCCATTTGTCGATAATTTTCACGCTTCATAAAGCAAGACACGGATCGAATGTTTTGTTAACTTTAAAAGTTGTATGCATGCCTTTAACTTGCTTAAGTTTCACATTCTGTGATCTTTATATTCTCTGGAAATGAAACAGGAGGCAAATTACTATTCATGTTTCTAGAGTCATAATCAATAAGATAATAAAACAATGTTACCAAGGAATGTACTTCATTTTACATGATGGGATCTCTTGCAGTCTTGCCAATCTTACAAATTATATAGTAAGAAAATGATATATTAAAGAACCATTTTGGCCTATCCACTGGGAATGTGCCCTAATCACCCCCCTATATTGAATACAGAAAATTTATATAAACAATTAGATATTTGTATGATAGACTGTGAAATGTGTTGCATTCCAACTAGACAAGTCATCAATTCAAAGCCGAGGTGGTTATTCGCAAGTTGTTACAGTTAAAAATGTTACATTTTAGCTCATTTGTGTAAAGGGCATGTGTTATGCAGAAGTGCAAGAGTAAATGCATAAATTGACATTATAAAATCAAATTTAACTTTTATGAGTTATGACTATTATCTTCTTTATAATAATATACATATTAATTTATATAATTTAGAACAACATTAAGGGGGCATTCTTTTTTGGGATTTTGAGAGGGGGAAGTTGGTCAATGGGATTTTGGTTCTCATTGACCAAGAATCCTATGTTCTGTTTTCAGCTTTATGTGGGGACCATGGAAGGTTTATTTTCTTGGGTATCACTTACCTTTCCCACATAGGGGGAAAGTTGGCAACACTTGAATGGGACAAAAATGCCCCTCTTAATATGGATTTATATGGGTAAAATGGTCATTGTCTTATTTACCTGAGAAATAAAAGAACATGGGTAAATGCACTTATCCAGGTAAATGTTTCATAGGAAAAAATTTACCTAGGTAAGTAATTTATCAAAAAGCAACGGGACCTAAGGAGATTCTTTTTTTGGATTTTGAGAGGGGGGAAAGTTGGTTACCAAGAATCCTGTGTTTTTTTTTTTTTTTTTTTTCAGATTTATGTGGGGACCAGGGAATGCTTGTTTTCCTGGGTATCACTTACCCGAGTAAGTGATGCCCATCTCCTAGGTGGGTAAAGAACTTTTCCACCTAGGGGGAAGTTGCCAACACTTGAATGAGACAAAAATGCCCCTTTTAATAATGGATTTTTATGGATAAAATGGTCATTACCTTATTTATACGAGAAATAAAAGAACATGGGTAAATGCACTTACTCGGGTAAGTGTTTCCTAGAAAAAACTTACCCAGATAATTGCATTTACTCGAGTAAGTAATTTACCGAAAAAACGAACGACGCCTAAATGTAACATGTGGAGAAGCAAGATGAGAAAATATGGTTAAGGAATGAACATTACCATAATATCTAGTGTTATATGACATTAGGTTTTACTATTCTTCATTTTATTGGAAGTAGAAACATACTTTAACTACATAAAAATCACACGTAAACAAGAGCATGAATTTTTTAGAGATATTGAAGAAGGAAGATGGGCCTTGTAGAAATACCAAACAATCAACGCCCACCATCCAGTGGTATTACGACATTATCCTTTAAGCTGTCAAACCCAATGGCGTTAGAGCTATGAAAATCTGAAGTTCCACCAAGCAAATTCTCTACCTCTTCAGAATTATGTTCTACCCATGGATGCTTATCAGACCTCCTCAAACCCTCTAACTCTATCGCCACTTCCTTCATTGTAGGTCTTTCCTCCCCGTTCAGTTTTAAACATCTTTTGGCAAGCATGGTTACTTCCCTAAGTTGATCTCTACTGCATTCATTCACCACTCTATCCTCCAAAATCTCATCAACTTTGTCCTCTTTCATTAGAGTAACAAAATGGATAGCCAAATTNGATAGTGCCTGCCTTCCGGTTAATAGCTCCACAAGAACTACACCAAAGCTATAAAYATCACTCTTCTCTGTCAATTGGCTTGTATGAAAATATTCTGGGTCTAAGTATCCCATAGTCCCTTGTACTAATGTTGTAAATTGAGTTTGGTTTAAAGGAACCAACCTTGAAGCTCCAAAGTCTGARACTTTCGCCATGTAATTATCATCCAAGAGTATATTAGTAGAYTTAATATCTCTATGAATAATTGGTGGAGAGGCAGCAGAGTGCAAGTAGGCAAGCGCTGATGCAGTTTGTGCAGCTATAGTTAAACGCTTTTCCCATGAAAGTGATGATTTAYTCCCCTCCTCATGGATGTGATGGAACAGAGTTCCATTTGTAACAAAYTCGTACACCAACAATGGAACTTCAGTCTCTAGGCAACAACCCAAGAGCTTTACCACATTTCTATGGTTAATTTGGGAGAGTATAAYGACCTCATTGATAAACTGCTCGATTTGAGTTTCATCCACAATTTTGGATTTCTTAATGGCAACTAATCTATTATCYGGTAGAATTCCTTTATATACTGTACCATATCCTCCACGACCGAGAATACGGATTGTATCATAGTTGTTAGTTGCCTTTTCAAGTTCTTCTGCAGTAAAGACATTAGCAGTTTCCATTGAAGCATCACGCGAAGAGAGTTGTTGCTTTAATAAAAGACCTCCATTCTGTCGAAAAAATTTTTCTCGAAGTTTAAGAAGYCTTCTTTTTTGGAAYCCCCAATATATCCAAGAGACACCAATAAGTAGAAACAGGATGCCCAAGCCAAWACCTACATCCATTTGACATACACATTATAGTAGATAAGAAAGAAACAATTTTCTTTTTTCAATTGGATATATACCCATAATTTTCTAACTCTTCTAATTGTTAATTAACAATTTTGAGTATATAAAGAAATAAGAAACGAATGCCATATCTAGTACTTCTGCATAAGACAGTTGCACTGGTTAGCCATTGCATTATGAAATGGATTTACGACCAAGGATTTCAATCTTTTTTTTTTTTTTTTTTGATAAGGTAAGGTAAAATTTTATTGAAAGCCCATAAAAGGTATACAAGTTGTATACAATTGAGGCCTCTACAAGCCTCTACCGCCAAGCTCCAAGACAAGGCAGGCCTTCAGAGCCCTCTTCAAGCCTCTACAATAACTAGAACCAAAAAAACCACCCCAAGACAAAAGCAACCTAAATAGGACAGAAGTATTATCCTAACTCAGCACACCAAAGAACCCGAACTCAAGGCCACAAACCACCAAAAGAGATAGGGCCCAGACTAAAAGGAAAACAAGGAGTGTGAAAGAACAACAAGAGTATCACCAGTAGTACATTTAGAGCTCTCTCCTCTGCCACTTCTTCATTTCCTTTAATTCTGTGTTTGGTTTGAAGGAAAAGGTAGGTAAAGGAAAGGAAAAAACCTCATACAAGGAATGTAAAAGTTTCCCTACCTTTTCTTTCCTTTCCCTGCCTTTCCCTTCAAACCAAACACAGACTAAGAGACCATATTAAGAGTCTTAAGGTTGCTCCTGGCTTGGGATACTACTTTTCCATCTCAGAAAGCCAGAGAGATTCCTCTTTCCCTCCCAAAACTAAAATGCCCAACCGTTTGCTCACCTCAACATCAACTGCCACCACCCTCTATCCAAAGTTAAAGAGTACTAATAGGCATTATTCGATTTGCCCTCCCGAAGGTTTTTGTAAGAGAGAGTTCTTTGGGAACCAACTCTCCTAGGCTAGATATCCTCTAATCTTTCCCAGACCATGGAGGAAGCAATCGGAGAATGTATCTAGGAAGCAGGCCCATCAGCCTTTTTCCTGGAACACAAAAGAAGAGCAAAGACAAGGGCCCAGGCCCAGCAGAGCAATGGAGATGAACCACCGCTGAAGTTCCTAACTGCTGCTCCCAAACTCCCCGTAGTCCCCTCTCCAAGACCAAAAGAAATTAAACTTGAAGGAGCAAATAAATTAAGCACTCTCACCTGTCACCTGTAACAAGAACGGTGGATCATGGGGCGACTGCAAGCATCTGAATCTGAGGGTCGGTCAACCACACCACCTCAGAGAACGTCCTCTCCGTTGGAAACCTGAAACACAATGATTTCCCTTGCTAACTTTGTCCCTAGTTTAATTTCCCCTAGCATTTGCTTGAAAATCAGCTCTCTTCATCAGCATAGGCTGCAACATTGCTGCCTTACCTTGCCGTGTTGAGGTCCTCCTCCCGAAAGAGTTATCTTATCTTTCTACTGCTAAACTTTGGACTAACAATCTCACTGCATCCAATTACTTCTTCCAACTCAGACAGTCCTCATCAACAACCACAAAGCCCCTCAACACATCGTTTGTAACCTCTGTGAAACCCAGCCGAAACAACCTCCTCCTCCCATGCTTTCTTTGTTATTATTCATGGAGCAGGTTTTTAGAATAATTAACCCATGCTTCATGCATGGTGCCTTATCAAGCTCCGGAGGAAAAAGAAAAATGCTTTATAGCTAAGAAAAATACCTGTCGGAGAAATCTAATATAAAAAGGAGTTCTTCTATTGGCCAGCATCAATGAATCGAGAAGAAATTATAGGTCGTAGACATGATCAAGCTAGCATAGAGCCAATCTATCCTGGGAAGTTAACACATGACCTGCCCAGAGTCCCCTTGTTTGATATACAGATTGAGCATATCGATCACCTCTCTAAATCAAAGAAGACAGAATGTAGAAACATATACCACAGAGGCACAGACCGTATAGGATAACCCTTCAGATTATTTTTCCGGTTTAAATCTAGAGATGGCAACACAGGGTATCCATGAAAAATGCCCTTTTCATTCTTAAACGTTAAACCTGATTAAGCATTCTTAATCTCAAACCATCCCAAATTGGTTTAACTTTCATTTGAATTTCCCAAATTCATCCCGTCTCAAACCTATTAAATCCATCATGATCCATTTCATCTGATTATCATTTGCTCAGGTCTTTACCGAAAAAAAAAAATTGCTTAGGTGGGTTTAAATTAATGAATCAAGTTGGGACAGTACCATATATTAAAAAATTAAAAAGAAAAAAAAAACCATTGTTCAACATCCAGTGTACAAAATAAAACGTTGAAAAATAAATAAAATTAATTTGGAGTGACATAAGACAATTATTATTACAATAAACCTTATTAAATTCTAATCCTCCACATAATAGATACACGTCAGATTTGAGTATCAGGTGTGCTAAGGTCAAAACTCAAACTTATGCCTAATCCTACATAATTTTACTATCCCTATTTAAATTATCAGTCATATAATTATTTGGATGCTCCCACCCACTAGGGATTTCCTACTCACTTTTTCTACTTATTCTCGACCCGCCTTGAATTGGAACCACACACTCTATTATTAAATAAGAGATATGTGGCTCCAATTCACCGCGGGAGGATAGGAGAAGTTTGTAGGAAATTTGGGCTCGCTTCCACCCACCCCGTTGCGGATTTGGCGAAATCCATGCATACGCACGGGCTCACAGTCATATGGGTGCAATAATTAACAGAGATCGTTACCCCATATCGTTGTTCATGTAATTAATCTAGGTTGCAGTTAAATGAGACGGGACTCCTGAAAGCAAAAACTGTGCAAAACTCTTGACATCTAATTACACATGCAAAATATCTCCCCATGAATTTATTAAACAGACGTGCGGCTGGATGCCATTCTCTTAGAATGTCCTCACAGCTTTTGCTTTCAGGAGATCCAGATCCGCCATTTGGATAAGCTTTAGGGATTTGTATTTTATGCGTCCTGGTTTTAGGCTGTGCTTTGGAGAAAAAAAGAGTTTTTTTTTTTTTTTTTTTTGCTTTAAATTATAAGACGTTGAAAAGTAATTATTACCAAACCTTTTGTTTTTTCACAGCTCAAAGTTAGAAACAAGAGCTTATCCAAACAGAGTGTAATTTACTTATGTCTTTTTTGGGGTTATGTTGGTAACTCCATTTCATCTCACCAGCTATCAAGCCCATGCAGAGGTTATGTTGGGCGATTTTGGAGTCAGATCACTTTATTCGGAAGTAATATATAAAGGAATACTTTAGCTAGCTAGCGTTGAACTTGTTACCTACGGCGGTTTGTATCACCGGAAATTTTGTTGGTGAAGCAATGCAAAGAGATCCGTTCTTTGTTCCATCGCGTTCGGTACCAGGAGGGCAGGAACAATAGTAACCCCCAGGCGTGTTATGGCAAATCCCCTGGCAGTCATTTTTATTTTGATCTTCGCATTCGTTTATGTCTACAATTCATTTATGACAACTCCGATCGGTCACTAGATTAGACGACCACGGTATATATATAATCAAATTTTTGTAAAGCATCCATGTACGTAGAAGATAGATCTAGTAGATTACCTTGGCATCCATCCTCGAGATAAGGGTTGCCCTGGTAACCTTGAGAGCAGTTGCAAAGATATCCGAGACCGTTGGGAGAATTATAGCAATCGCTGTTCTTGCCGCAAGCATAAGAAGGGTATATTCTTGAAACAGTTTCGCAGGTCTCGTTCTCTATTGCCCAGTCCAGGACGAGTGGGAGTCTATCTCCATATCTTTCGTAGAAATGCGAGAGATCATCTACTGAGAATCTGTACCAGTCATAGTCCACCAAGAAAGCATAGCTGCAGGGATTGAAATTCCAGACACTGGTGTGGTTCTCATAGCTCCAAACATTCACATTGAATTTCTTGAACCCCTTTGGTATGGAGGTCTGACAACAACCGATACCTGTGCAAGACCCATTGATCACACTTTCTTTGTCGCTGCAAGCCATGTAACACCCGCTCGTGAAATTCCGGCCTTCAGAGCCTGTTATTTGGGACCAAGTGTCGCACCCAATTGTAGTGAATCTATTGTGAGTGTCAGAGAACGTATAGGGCAAATTATCAATATTTACCCAGTAGTACCATGACTCAGTTTTACTTCCTGAACGATTGTAGCAATCGTGTCCCATGAAGCCATAGATTCGCAATTGGGTAAGTGATGGCGAGATTTCTAAAATTTCCAGGTTACTAGTTGATATGAATAGCTTGGGAGGGTTGAAAGTATGATTGCAGGTTAGGTCGTATCCTTCTCTGTAACAGTCTGGGTAGTCCAAGCCGAAGGGGTAGGGAACGGTGATGTTTCCGCATTTCTCTTGGCATCCAGGCTTTGCCACTGACGCCATT